GACGTAATAACTATGATCAAATTTTAAACAACTGAAAAATCTTAGCATATTAAACTTGAATATATGGATTATTATTTTTATAAATAATTTCATTCTGTGTACCAGAAAACACATTATAATAATTTGAGGCTGTGTACCAGAAAACACGTTTTAAGCGTATTGTCATAACTTACAGTGTTCTATTTTGCAATTTCCCTAACTTTGCTAACACATGTTATGTAGATCTAGCATTTGCATTTTACCTTAACTTGAGCAAGGTGTTTGCGAGTTTGAAAAATGACATATTTTACTAGAAGTGTTGTTTCATCAATTTTGAGCCCACCTAGACATTGGTACACAAATGATCAAAGAAACAGAAGTTGCTTACAATTTGTGGTCGAAATCATCTTAAAAATATGTATTTGACGATATATTGTGAAAGGCAACTTTTAATTTCAATACAGTTAATCATAACGTGACCATGAGAAACAGCATGACAGTTCTCTCTTGACAACTGTCTGGCAAAATTCCAGCGTATGTTATTTCAGATTTAATCACACAATAAATCAAAACTTTGTCCACAGATATAAATATCTGATATATGGTTATATATCGTGTCTGATAATCGTGCTCCACTGACGAACAAAAACACTTTGGGGTTCTATAGTTTCTTTGTGAAATTCTATAGTCACGCAATTTTATCTTAAGTCGGAAATCAGGTCCCGACTTTCGAGATGTAATATTGATGATTTCTGTCTACTGGGTATTGAATGATTGTGTTGTAACTTTCTTATATTTGTTGACAAGTGTACGTGTGCAGGTGTTTGTAACGCAATCTCAGTTCTTCTTATTATCGATATAGCAATATTTTTTCTCTTGTGATATTGGGATTATAAAGGTCGTGTGATGCGGTCGATCGCTCCTTTGAAATGAGTATATCTAAAGCACATATACATTGCTTTAGCTGTGTCGATGGGGATAGTGAAATGAAACCCTGTGTTTTATTTGCCACCTTTTCGCGAACTCTTGTGATTATTGCTATTTGTTGTGATAAATACATTCTCAGAATGATTTGGTCAGAATCGTTAATTTTATTCTGGTTTTCTATGGACGTGAAAAGGCTTTTGTCCTTTACATATATGCTATCAAGATTAAGGAAAGGGATTTGTATGACCTTTTCTTCTGTCAAAATTTCTAATACAAACCAAATGTAATAGCATGAGGGCTGGGAGTACAATGTATACATTTCTCACATAGACGGGTTGAAATCACAATTTGTTAATAAGAACCTTACTAGCGAAGAACAGGAATATCAATAATAGCTTCAGTATATTGGTATCCACTCCGGAATGGTGTGTGTAGCTTTCCAATCAATATTCGATGTTTGGAGACTGTTAATTCTAATATTTGACATATATTCTATGTGTTTAACTCGTTAGCGTTTCCACCTGTGGTATAATTACCATGTTTCTTGACATTTTACTGATGTTTCAGGAAACATTGTACACATAACACAATATGATGTGCTGCGTGGGTTCTTTAGGTCATGTTGTATGTTAACATGTGCACAGATGAAACTCTCAGCGATACAAACATACCTGTATCTAATTGGCAGTACGAACATGTTATGAAACTGTTTCATTTATAGATTTGATGATGGACAAATGTCATTACATTACATCCTTTACAGCTCTTTGATAATCGATGCATCACTATATGTAAATCTTAAAACTGTCGTAATGAACGAGGACAAGATTTAAAGAGTCTACATTATTTCTTTTAACATTGTACAGGTGTATGATATTCCGAAATATGTAAATATTACATCTGTGTTCATTGGTGCTGAGACACCGTTAAAGTGTGTTCAGGTAGTTATTTACACTAATTAAAATTAAACCTGTATGCCTGTGTGTATTTAAGCACGATGTAATATACATTTTTCCTGGCTTCTCCGTTAGCTCATTAAACTCATTACGTCAATTTTGTGTCTTTGAAATATTTGGAGACACTGATTGTCGCATGGTACAGTGTTAAAATCAGAAAATAACTGTATCTGTGGTTTGATTAATAAAGTTTGTTTGCTCATTGCAATTTGCCTGGGTTTGTTTCCTCATTGCTCTGGGTTTGTTTCCTCACTGCTATGTGCCTGGGCTTGTTTCTTCAATGCAATGTGCCTGGGTTTGTTTCTTCAATGCTATGTGCCTGGGTTTGTTTCCTCACTGCAGTGCTCCTCAATCACTTTGACATAGTTGAAGTCTCAGGTTCGACGGCACTGGTTGAGTTAGGAAAATCACCGACCCGTGAAGAACCGGGTTAGAATTGAACTTCAGTAACCCATGCTTGTCGTAAGAGGCGACTAACGGGATCGGTTGGTCAGGCTCCCTGACTTGGTTGACATATGTCATCGTATCCCAATTGCGTAGATCGATGTTCATGCCGTTGATCACTGACTGTCTGGTCCAGACTCGATTATTTACAGACAGCCGCCATATAGCTGGAATACTGCTGAGTGCGGCGTATAGCTAAACTCACTCACTCACTGAAAATCACCAACCTCATTTATTTTTAAAACGACGTCATGAGATCCAGGATATTAAAAGTGACAAAGATCAAGTATGATCTAACATATGCGCCTTGTCTTGAAGAGACATGGTAATGTAGTGTTCATATCTAAAGTTTGTCACCTGAATTCGTGTTTGACTTTACACATGCCACTAGTTTCCTTTCCCGTGACATGTACCTCTAAACGGCAGAAATGGATAAGCTTGAGTACAGAGCAGTCATAAAGTCTTTGGTCCTCGAGGGCCACCCGGCGAAGCACATTGAAGTGCGTTGACAGCAGTATGAGTACCCCATGGGACCCGGTACTCGTGCAGCTGTTTATTACGTTTATGTGAATGATATAAACCATTCTTCAATATCTCACAGTTATTTTTATTATGCAAACATCAGAAGTATTCTAGGTCCAAACCTTTTGATAGCTCTCTTACAGATTGTCCAGTTTGTACTGAAAACAACTACACAGTAAAACTCAATGTGCTTTATTTCTCATGAGGCTTACAAATTAGATTCATCCAAAGTATCTTTCTCATCCGTAAAACGAAACATAAATGCTCTGTACACACTTCCTTCAACCACCGTATATAACACGATTCCACAGTGTGCGTGACACACTGATTATGGTACAACATATAATCTGATGGCATAGTTATAGCCATATTAAAGTCAAGAAGATGCTCCTTTTTCAGAAAAATGTAACTCTTTGCTCCTCTTGCAGAATATTGTAGCGTTTTGCTCCATTTGCAGAATAATGTAGCTCTTTGTTCCTTTTACAGAATAATGTAGCGCTTTGCTCCATTTGCAGAATAATGTAGTGCTTTACTCCATTTGCAGAATATTGTAGCGCTTTACTCCATTTGGAGAATAATGTAGCGCTTTACTCCTTTTGCAGACTAATGTAACTCTTTGCTCCTTTTGCAGAATAATGTAACACTTTGCTCCATTTGCAGAATAATGTAGCGCTTTACTCCATTTGCAGAATAATGTAGCACTTTACTCCTTTTGCAGACTAATGTCGCACTTTGCTCTTTTTGCAGAATAATGTAGTGCTTTACTCCTTTTGCAGACTAATGTAGCAATCTGCTCCTTTTGCAGAATAATGTAGCGCTTTACTCCATTTGTATCGATGTGGCGAATCGAACCGGGATCACCTTTCATGTTCAGAGATGAATAGCTACGCCAAAATCATCACAAAAAGTTATTCAAATGCGGTTTACCTTATTGCCCAAATATGACCAAATTAATAATTGAAACAGACACTATCTTGTTTCATCAGGGTGAATTCACTATTCACATAAAATCGGCTTAGCCTGGAAGGTCGTGTTCGTTTGAATTGTGTTTTGTTCCATGTTTCATTTTCAATAAAAACACTAAGCAAAACATATCATAAATCTTGCTACATGTGTACAAAACTGTGATATTTGACGTTTCGAAAAGTAAGTGAGTGATTTTATATTCGGTGTCAATCGGCAGTATTCAAGCCATATCGTGTCGAAAACAATTTATGTACCAAATATGAAAACATTTAGGATGTAAAAGCCTGTCGTCGATGGACAGTAAAACTCCTAAGCATCACAGATATAAAATTATAACTAGCATTGAATCCAGAAGTAAAGCATTAATGTGAACAATATATAATATACAAATGTGAACAATACAATATAAACACAGTCTGTAGATCGCCAATAACTGAAGGCAGAACAGCATACGAGAGACCGTAGTAGGGACTTATGGTGCTTTTACTGCCTACATGGATGCTGCCTGGATTTAAACCATCCCTTCAGATGTTGGAGATTATGACAAATTTAGCCAAGCATTAAAATAACACATATCATACGATTGAACATCTGGTAAGCTCAACTTTCACGTACCCTCACAGGAAGACAATATTTTTTACAACCCCCTGTGAGGATACAGCCACCAACAATTTAAGTTGTTCATCAAAACTACCGATTAACCAAATAGTTATCTCTTTACAAAATATTTGTAATTTTCTCTTCTGATAATTCTTTTTCTCCTAAAAATGCAATATTTAAGTGGGCATTATCATTATTAAAGGACTCCTCTTTGTTTTTACGCTGACATATGTATCCTTTGTGATGGGAAAATCAGTACAGTCGAGCAGGCCATGCTTGACCGTAATTCTTTCATCAGCAGGTTTTGAAAAGCAATATGAGAATGCGAATGCTGTACGTATAAGCAAGCGATTTTAAACACTGTCAGATTGTGAGGGCACAAGGTGTTGTGGAAAAGGTGAGCATATCCTGCCCATACAGAACAAGCATTTACCACTACACACCAGTTATCTCTCTTTGCGAATATTTACAAAATTTTGTTATTTTGTGTAAATATCATATTTGCAAATTAGTAAATTCATTGTAAAACAAAGCTTTACAAAACTGTGAATCTCAAGACATTTGCCGTGCTGCGCCTCTGGTAGCATCAATCACAAACATGTCACATCAACACCTACACAACCATTTCAAGAAGGTCAGCAGGTCTGGGATGACGATGAAGAGAATGGGAAGTATCAACATCGCTATTCCTGACATCCCAATAACATTTGACGATTTTCTGTCGTCCTGTTTGCTGATCTTCTTAGCAATTTCTGTTGACAAGAGGCCTGTTTCAACTATTAATTCATCTTTCAGTTCATCGCCTCTTTCAACAGCCTCTTTTTCAACCTTTGGAACTGCAGGGGGTTTACAGCGACAGGTGCACTTTTTTCGTATCGGTCTTCCATAGCTATCCCAAGCAAGAGCCTGCCCGTCTGGGTGGACTGTTGTGACAGCATCGGATGTAATTACAGCAGGTGATGTCGACGAAGATGAAAATAACGTGGAAGATGACGGCGGCGATGTTGAGTTAGACACTGATATTGGGGCCATTGTGGTGGTTGTGGTGTGCGCCGAATTTGTGGATGTGGATGTGGTCACCGCTGTGATTGTAGCTGGGGTGGTGGTGATGATGGACGTAGAAGCTGCCGCTGTTGTAGTTGTTGCGGGCACTGAAGTTGTGGTTGAGATGAGAGGAGAACCCGTTGCTATGGTTGTGACGGGCACTGAAGTTGTGGTTGTTAATGCGGCTGTGATGGTCGCTGTTGTTGCTGATGCTGTGGTAGTTGATGTGTACGTTGTTGTGGTGGGCGCTGTAGATGTTGAGGTCGTGGTGGGCGTTGTAGTTGTTGAAGTCGTGGATGGCGTTGTAGTTGTTGAAGTCGTGGTGGGCGTTGTTGTAGTTGTTGAAGTCGTGGTGGGCGTTGTAGTTGTTGAAGTCGTGGTTGGTGTTGTAGTTGTTGAAGTCGTGGTGGGCGTTGTAGTTGTTGATGTCGTGGTGGGCGTTGTAGTTGTTGAAGTCGTGGTTGGCGTTGTAGTTGTTGTGGTTGTCGTTGTGGGGGTGGTGGTTGTGGGTGCGGCACTCGCTGAAACCGATGGGAAAGAAGCAATACAGCACAGTTACTCAGTTTACAAAGGAATTCTTGATGGGTAGAGCTAATTCATCATCACCGTCCTGGCATGAATAATCACATTTGCATCGTTTGTGTATTCCATCAAACAACCTTTATTGCTTTGTTATGATTGATATGTTCCACTTATAACTCACTTTACTTGTACATAAATATAGTGTTTTCTTTATTGACCATGCTCGCTTGTGAATGAATGATAATGTATATCTTCGAAATAAAATGTGGAGGAAATGAAGATCTCTCTCTCTCTCTCTCTCTCTCTCTCTCTCTCTCTCTCTCTCTCTCTCTCTCTCTCTCTCCATCTCTCTCTCTCTCCTCTCTCTCTCTCTCTCCTCTCTCTCTCTCTCTCTCTCTCTCTCACTCTCTCTCTCTCTCTCCTCTCTCTCTCCTCTCTCTCTCCACCCTCTCTCTCTCTCTCTCTCTCCATCTCTCTCTCTCTCTCCATCTCTCTCTCTCTCTCTCTCTCTCTCCCTCCCTCTCTCTCTCCTCTCTCTCTCTCCATCTCTCTCTCTCTCTTATCTCTCTCTCTCCTCTCTCTCTCTCTCTCTCTCTCTCTCTCTCTCTCTCTCTCTCTCTCTCTCTCTCTCTCTCTCCTCTCTCTCTCTCTCTCTCTCTCTCTCTCTCTCTCTCTCTCTCTCTCTCTCTCTCTCTCTCACCGACTTCCACTGCTTTATTTAAGCTATTTTATACATTGAGTGGTTTGCACACTCAGCTTAAACATAATCAACAATTTTTATAGCAGTTTTATACTTGTCACTAATATTTAACGTCACATCGGCAATATTTCAGCCCATATCGGAGCAAGTTTCAGACGTACATAGATTAATATAGTGGATACAGAACCAAGAAAAACAACAGTCTGCCAGTATTGTAATATGAATCATGTTGAGGATTGAGGATGACAGTCCCGATGGTCCCTGGTATGGAGATCTATAGCCCGTGTTTATATTGTAGTATCCTGAATAATATAAGTTATGTGTTAATTTTGAATCTCTAACTGTGATATTCCAGTTACTTTACTGCCCTTCGTCGATAGATTTTATAATATAACATTATACGTTATGTAAGTATGAGCTGTTTTTGTCCCGATATGGCCGAAATATTGCCAGTGTGTCTATAACTCACTCATTATGTTGAGGATGAAATTAATACGACGAAGAAATTTGCTTTTTACGTGTTTGTCCGCGGTATACCGTTACCAATTAACCAACATTGTCGTGCATTAACTAAAATGCAATTTCTGCATTAACTTCATATATGTATATTATGACAATAATACAAAGCACATAGTGACCGTTCATGTGGACCTCCGCGTTTATCGTGTGAAATGTTATCCATAGTAAGGAACTATGTATCAGTTTATCGAGATTTTCAGGCTCTTCAAATAGTAAAATGTATACTTTGCCAAAAATATGAAACCAAATGAGTGAGTGAGTGAGTTTAGTTTTACGCCGCACCCAGCAATATTCCAGCTATATGGCGGCGGTTTGTAAATAATCGAGTCTGGACCAGACAACCCAGTGATCAACATCATGAGCATCGATTTACGCAATTGGGAACCGATGACATGTGTCAACCAAGTCAGCGAGCCTGACCATACGATCCCGTTACTCGCCTCTTACGACAAGCATGGGTTACTGAAGATCAATTCTAACCCTGATCTTCACATGTTCAAACCAAATGACGTAAGGTGTCGAGAGTGAGTATGGTTTTACGCCGCTTTTTAGAAATATTCCACAATATCAAGGGGTGGAAATAACTTTAAAATTGCTAGTGTACTCCGGTACAGTGGCACATGTAAAATCACTTGCCCTGATAATTTTTCCACTATACCGGCCCTTTTCTTGTTGCTTTTTTAAATAAACAACATAATTCATATTGGAAAGTCAACTGGACACCGGTACAGTGTGACATACAAATTTGCTTGCCCGACAGAAAAAATACACTGGACTCGGGCGTCGGGCAATGGGTTATTTCCACCCCTGATATCATGACGGAGGATACCAAAGAATGCTTCACACACTGTACATAAGTGAGGAATCGAAACAGGGCCTCCGGCGTGACGAGCGAACGATTTAACCACGAGGCTACCACCATCGCCTTTAGTCCCTTATGGCAGAGACCATATAATAGATTATGGGTTACCACTCACCACCAAGTACGATGATTTCGCAGATACTTATGCTTTGAAAATTTGGAAATACTAGTCGGATGAAGTGTGCCTTGTTACTGTGGCCAGCAGCGCAGGTATTTATCCACTGAGTTCTTCTTCTATGGGAAGCTACGATGCATTTGGACCAGCAGTCATCTCTGTCGGTACAGGTGGTACTGAAATGCACCGTAGTGTTCTCCACGGGATATTCTAGCAATATGAATGACATATAGTTAGTGAGTTTGCTTAAATTCGCTCCTTACGTGGTTTCAAATTTACCATTTGTGTTTTAGTTACCATATAATAAACATTTACATAGGATTGGATTGGATGTTCTTTGCCGCCTCACTCAGCAATATTCCAGCTGTATGGCGGCGGTCTGTAAATAGTCGAATCTGGACCAGACAATTCAATGTTCAACAGCTTGAGCATCAATCTATGCACTTGGGATATGATGACATGTGACGACCAAGTCAGCGAGCATGACCATCCAATCGCCTCTTACGACAAGCATGAGTTACTTAAGATAATTCTAACCCGGATCTTCATGATTACCCGATCCTGTCAGTCGCCTGATAAACATTTACAACTTTGGTGGAACCCACAATATGTTTTTTGTTGTTGATATATTAAGGTTCACAATTATAGCGGATTACGGATTCCTACTCACAATCGGGACAGATGGTCGTTGTTGTTTCAGTAGTTAACGGTGCCCAATTTGCCTTACAGTGAGTACTATTCAACACAATGCCGCAAGCCTGGGAAATGACATGCATAGCGAATCTCAATTGCTACCCAAACACTTGAAGGACATTGCTTTGTGAGGAGTGAGTGACTCGACGTTTTCAACATTATCAGGGTGCCGTTGTCGATTTTACCCATGAAAATCCGGCTTAGAATTAATCTTTAGCAACCCATGCTTATGGTAAGAGGCGACCAACTGGATCGGGTGGTCCGGCTTGCTAACGTTGGTGTCATCGTATCCCAATTGCGTATATCAATGCTCATGCAGTCGATCACTGGATTGTCTAATGAATTGATATGAACATCATCATGTATGACTTAATTCACAAAAGTGCTTTAAGTTCCAAAAGATGACTCAGGTAAATAAATTGTCTTATTACAAAGTAACTTACTCGCAAATAGGCCGATATGAGTAATGCTGGAATTTTGTCCCAGGTCAATAATTATATAGTAGTTATTGAATGATGCATTGTCAGTGCAGGAAGAGATGTCAAGTTTTGCTCTCCGTCAACCGCCACTGCACCGTTCACGTCGTGCATAATTTTAGTCTCTGCTTCAAGAGCGAGGTTGGTGGCATCTGGAGATACAAAACAAAGAATTACTGAAGTCTGAAACACATTTGAATTGATAATTATAAAATATGCCTCGACTTGTAATACCGTATATGCCGACCCATGAAAATTTCATTCACATACAAACCCCAAAACATGAATTTTGAGCAAAGTAAAACAGTCTCGCCCATGCGCGAGATGCTTAATAACTCTTAAGTTCGGAGAACATTCTCGCCCAGGGCGAGGTAGTTTAAATTAGTTTTCGACATTTTTAAAATTTGTTTCATCCTTGGCATATATTCATAATAACTGCAGGTTGAATTTAGTTAAATCCTTTCTCAGAAACTGGCCACAGTGCGGATAGTTTCTCGATTTCCAGAATTAAATTGTGACGTGTTTCAAGGTCAAACCACTACGCCACGTCCTGACGCTGCGGCACCGAACCTCGCCATTGAAAGAATGCACGCTGGAGATTACCAATTTTCTGTTGCCAGGCGACTGAATGTTAGTCTGAGCACGATATCACGGCTTACAGCTCGTTACAGCCAAACAGACATAACCAATGACCGTCCCCGCACAGGCGGACCTCGAGTCACCACTGTAGCCAAAGATCGGTACATCCGGGTACGACATTTGCGAGATCGTATGCCACGGCTGAGAGCAGAGCAGCCATGGTGCCTGGACTTCGGAGGATATCCGGTCAAACTGTACGGAACAGGTTGAGAGAGATTGGATTGAGAGCCAGGAGATCCGACGTCGGACCCGTGCTACGTCGTCACCATGGCGCACAATGTCTCCGTTATCTAAAATTATCCACTTGGTTGTATAGACATTTCCTTCTTCGAAACTGATGCGAAAATGCATGTACTAAAGTCTATTTGTGGACGAGTTATACATGTTTGAAAATACAACATTTTCGCAACAGATTTCTGGGTTATGCGTTTCTTTTTTGGAAAAGTATATTAATTGCGAATACATATGAGTCGACTGGGGAATTAGCTCATAATTATACGAACAATACGCTGACGAAGACGAAGGAATAATTGAGCTCAAACTTCTTCAGTATACATGAAGAGAGAGATATTTTATTACGTCTCACCCCGTTACAAGGTACATTACAATATACATTATAAAAACAGCAATACACGGGTCACTCCGTACAGAGTTATGAGAGACGATATATGTACAAGTATTTACAAGTGATAAAACTGAATATTCTCGATAAAACCTATTTCGTACATGTTACTGATATAAAACACATTTTCTCTTTTTCAAAATACTATGGCAGGTTTGGGCACTTTCAGAACATAAAATTTCATTAGATAAAAGCAGTTTTCCGAGTATGGCTTATATTCATAAAACCCGGACAAAGTCTAAGACAATTATCAATAAGATTCTTTCGCTCGACACTGTGCACTGGACAATCAAGTCAAACGTGGCATCCTCAGTTACATTCACACAATTGAAACATATTCTCTCTTGTAGAGGAATATTGGCATATCTGCCCAGATCAATATTGATTGGTGCTGTGCCACATCTAAATTTGCTAATGCACTTCTATGTGCTCTTGGGATGCTATGACAGACATAAAATGCTGGAGTAAAACATGTCTTAGTAGAATATAATCTCAGCTTATTACCTCCCTTTCGGGAAGAACCTTGTCAATGTGGCTGTAAAATACTTTCTCTCTTACAGGAATTAGGTGAGCGGAGTTCCAGCTCAACCCCAGGGCGTTTCCTACGAGCAGCATTATCCTGCTCGAGGTCGTCCCTACACAGGCAGTCGGAATACCGGACTGGTGACAGTATGGATGTGAGCATATATAGAGATTATTAGTCGAATATGTTTCCGTATCATTGATATCATATATTAGGAAAAAAAGTTGTATTATGCGAGACAGTGTAAGTCTCGGGTGTCATAGCATCTATGAAATAATGTAAACTTACTTTATATATCCACCCTTATGTTATTTCCGACGGCAATTCTTCAACTATTGCCTCAATCAAATTTAACAAGTTGTTCTCATACTACCACCGACCTCAGTGTATAAAGAATCGGAGATACACCTCCAACCAACGGACCTTTATCGCAAATTTGTGATTATTACACATTCCTGACAATTGAAGAAATTCTGTGTAGAATGTAACCTTTAATTATAAATATGAATAGTGAGTTTTGATCAGCAGTTCTTCACATATTTCATTTTGTTTTCAAATTCTGACACTTTGTTTCTGACGCATGCTTAATGTACCATACACCTATTATCCAATTAGTCGGTTGCAGCACAAATACCAGTCATCATAGTTTGAAATAAAAGATTTAGCCCTTATGAAATGTGCCCATCAGTCAGTACTGTGAGTCATTATATATTGGACAAAATAAGTTAGGATGTTGGTATTTTTATGTTTGATATTTTATCAGTGTGTCAATGAATGAATAGATAATTATTCAGAATTTCAAAATTTACATATATCCCTAACTATTTTTGTCCAGTATATGCGTTATTTTATTGAGCCATTTCTTACAAAAATTTAACACCATTCAACCTCTAAACACAAGTACTCATTTACAGAGATTTGTCCTAACAAATAACGGATCATTCTGACCATAAAGAGGATGTGTATGATAGAATTCTATGTGTATAGAATGACATATGCATCTTATTGTTTTAGTAACATAATGTTGATTAAATATTTCACGTGACAGACCATATACTATCTAGCTATAGCTTTATATTCTGATTTTCATTCAACGGTTCTGGTGAAAACTTTAGTGTCATATCTGTTTGTTAGAAATTAACATAGAAAATGTGTTTAAAATCAAATATGTTTTGATGACATAAATTCCATGTAGATATGTGTGTGCATTATATATTTCATTTACAAATTTAACAGATAATACTGTTCAATGACTGAATAAAGTCATGCATGTGTAATGTAATCTTAAAGCACACACGCACCATCATACAAAAATATCAGATACAATTCACGACGAAATTCACACGTTGCATAACAATGTGTTCACATTTCGCCCTCAATATCAGCTCCCGACCGTACTGAATTACACGAATGTAGCCTAATCGGAGTAATACAATATAGATTTGAGTACATGTGCAGAAATACACTGCAGGCTTAAAAGTGTGATATTCAGAAATTTAGTGCCAGATTTGAATTACCGATTGCAAAACGTCAACAAAACATGACCTGAAAACGATCAGCTGATTCCACCGCCTCGCTTCGATGGCCATTTTGCGATTCATTAATGCAATATAAGCAGTCATGGCTATCCCCAGTGTATCATGGAATCAAATAACAAATATTTCCGGATATCACAATTGATATATCATCGGAAAAGATATACTGTCCATATGCATCAGCGTGAACGTGATGGTGAAGGCTGTACTGGTTAACTGTCTCTAAAGTGTTTAGTAACAAGAACAGCCCCCGATCCCATCGCGCAGAAGACATGCGTTGTCTCAGTTTAAGGTTGGACCCATTCGTAACTACTCGCCCTCTTTCCGTGACTCTACAATAACATTCGTAACTACTCGTGTCATTCTGGCAAGCCGGATGTAGGTGACGGAAAGAGGCTAGTAGTTACGAATGGCCCATTTAGATGCTTGAGAGACTTTTTACAATATTATATTTTTTCAAAGTTTACTTTAAGACACATTTTTCGTTTGATCGGGCTGAAATTATTGCTGTCGGCGGCATTTTGTGATATAATTTATTTTTTTGTTCCGTCGTAAGGAAAATTTGGGTTGGTCGGGAGATGAGAAACACAGAAAAAAATACGGACGGCCTAACCGTATCCCGAATAGAGTAGATCGATGCTCATGATGTTGATCACGGGATTGTCTGATCCAGACTCGATTATTTACAGACAGTTGCCATATAGCTGGAATATCGCTGAGTGCAGCGTTAAACAACAAACAAACAAAGTAAACATTGATCCAGTCTATCACATACAGCCACACACGCATGTGCACACATACCATATTTTTCGACGACGTTCATACAATTTTTGGCCCTCATTCTGTGAAGATACCTACTCCAGTGACCTCACACAAATAAAAGTCAATTCTTGTATTTTTTCTTCCACTATTTCACAATTTAAGCGATGCATTTCGCAATTTTCATTTTGCACGTATGGCGTATGACTATGTATAACAGCCATTCAGCGACGCGGAAGAAATTAGTTCTTCTAATGGAGAGTTTACATGATCAAATATATGACGACATGCTTTTTTTGAACATCTTTTGTTGTTGGGTTACAATAAACAGATACCATCATTAGATGAAACAAGTTTCTTAAGAACTTCCTTAGGTAGTCACAGTCACAGTCGCAGTCACAGCGCGTCGTAATATACCAAATAGAGGACATCAAAATGGTCGACAACATAGATATGTCGGGATGAGATTGCAGAAGTAGTTCATAATTCTGTGTCATTTACATATTGTCCTCATAGTTGATCGACTGGGCGATATCATGTCAAACATATGCTCTGGTAGAATTTTATAGCTTGCTGAGAGTTAACGTTACGTGTCAGCTAAACACCGATCGAGTCCATAGTTTGGATGTGCATTTCTTCGTTATGTTCACTGGGATCGGTCAAAGAGTGGACTTTCTTGAACGGCAATAAGACTCTCTGACTTATCCCAATTTATGTTGAAACTTTTAGTTCAAGATTTAAGGTAATAAAGTATCTGAAACAATGCTTCTGTATTGATCTGACCCGTGAAGATCCGGGCAATCCAGTGATCAACATCATGAGCATCGATCTACGCAAATGGGATACGATGACGTGTGTCAACCAAGTCAGCGAACCTGACCAGCCAATCTCGTTAGTTGCCTCTTAAAACAAGTTCAAGTTACTGAAGATCATTTGTAAATCGGATCTTCACGTTTTGGAAAGCTTGTATGAAATATATACATAACGCCAGTGCAAAGAATTCAGTCTTCACTATCCTCAGAAACAAATTACGTTCAGAGTAAAGGAAAAGTAATTCTAAAAATTGTATGAATGGGTCGTAGAAACTAAGCATACGCACTAATCAAAGACGGATTCAGAGAAGGGTGCGGGGTGCGCTCCCCTTCTTCACCCGAAAAAAATTACCGGAAGAGCATTTGCCCCTAACCTATGAACTTCAGGATATATGTGCTACACCCCTTCTCCAAAAGACCGCCTCCGTGGTGTAGTGGTTAGAGCGTCCGTCCGGAGAGCGGAAGGTCGCGGGTTCGATCCCCGACCGCGTCATGCGAAAAGACGTTAAAATATGGTACTTGTTTGTCCCTGCCTGGCGTTCAGCATTAATGGGTACAACAAGGACTGGTCGGCTCGGAGTCAGTATAATGTGTCTGAGTGGGGTAGTCATGCTTCACTGCGGCATGGTATCTCAGTGGGCTAGCACTATAAAACCAGCTTCAGTCTGGGCTAGTACAAGCAGCCGCACATACACATACACACACATGCACGTCGTCATATGAGCGAAATATTCTCAAGCACGACGTTAAACCCAATTTCGCCTCACCTCACCTCACCTTCTCCCAAATCCTGGATCCATCCCTGTCAATAAACGTAACGTTTGCTTACCTGTCTTTAAGTCAGGCTGCCGTTGACAGGCAATCCCACC